TGGTATCCCTCGAGTCCATGTAGGATATTCAATCTGGAGCAACCCCGAATCCCCAGGCCCCAGATGCCTCTGGCAGCTTTCCCTCCGCTTGCAGCTTCTTGAACTCTTCTACTTGCTCCGGCGTCAACTGATCGCAGCAGTCTTTTTAAGTTGCGGCTGTTGGACAGGTTTTTCCCTGCGGTAGCCTATGGGCGGTTTCGAATTGAGAGCTCAGCGGGTGTGGGGCTGAAGGACTATAGAGGCATTGGTCTTTGGGGTGCCCCTTCAAATAATCTGAGACCATGACAAAGTGGGTCGCTTCCACAGTACAGAGGGCAATGCAGGTATCCAAACAACTAGGTAAGAAGTCCCTCATGACACGCAAGCCGCAAAGATCGCATCCTCCGCAGCAACCCTGAGTGATCAAGCACCATCAAGACCCGTAGATTTGTCACTTGAACTGTGGCTTTCGTTCCTGGTGCCTGCAAGAGGATGCGCCCATACGCTCACACCCAACTTGTTGAAAAAACGCTGCTACCAGTTTATGTCGCAAGGACTGCAGCGTATCTATGTGTATATATCTATATACATACATGTATCTATCCGTTCCCCGAGAGCCATGTCCAAAGGACGGTGAACAATCCTGCGATCCCTCAGAACCCCTACAGCTTTCCTAAACCCCAAATCCCGAACTCTTGCAGCTGAAGCCCCGGCTATGTTTCATCAAGCCTCAAATACTAGACTGCATTTTTTCCGTGAAGCATTTAGCCCTGGGCACGAATGAGCCCAAGATCCAAACAAAAACTCCAGAGGATCCAAGATGAATCAAGTTCCTATACAATCCAATGTATTCTTGCCCGCCAGGTGCCTACATCGCAACCCATTAAGGCCTCAAGTATCTGTCTCATTGTACTTCACTTAGACCCCAAACCCTGAACCGCCGCTACAAACCCTAACCCCCTAAACCCTAAATAGTAGTTTCCATTTTCTTTTCCAGTATCCCTATATTATGAGAACCCCTATATAAGCCTTATGTTCCCTTAGGAATTTCGATTTTCTTCCTAACCCCAAGAAACGGTCGGCCTCAGCAGTGCGAGCATCTTCCAGAACCTTCTCGTTCGAAGAAAGCCTGAATTTTGTGGCAAAACAGAGGAGGTCGCTTACAGGTAATAGTGTTATATTGGGATAATGGAAAAGAAAATGGAAACTACTATAATGAGATTATATAGGGTTTAGGGTACCATTTTGGGGGGCAAGACACAAGAGGTAGTTTACCAAAATTAGGGGGCCCAAGTATAGACCCCAAATACTTTTTTGTCCTTGTGAGATTATGGAGACGCCCAACATGGTACCCCTGATTTTGGGAAGCCCTCAAGAAGGCATACCTGCGGCTTCCTTCACCGCCGATTACACCTGTAAGGCATGAGGGAGTTTGCTGAGTGAGGGGTGGGTAAATGAAGTAGCAGGCTTACACGTGTACATATATATGTGCATATACCTGCGGATGTATTACACTTCGGGTGCATGCGCGAATATGAGAAGTTCTGCTGACACCAAGTTTGGCGGCTCCACATCAAGCCCATGCGACGTATGCTGCAATGAGTGCCAACTGTCTGCAAGCAATTTCAAAAGTTGACCAAGTTACAGCATGTGATGCCAAAAGCCTACAAACAGACCAGCCTAGGGCAGATTTACATGAGAAGTCTTTGAGTCAAAGCGTGCCGTCTGGGGGCCAGGAATGTGATATTTAGATACTTCAAAACCGCTTTGTGGAAGCCGTGCGGAAAGGCTTAAGACACTCGACTGTCATTTCTACAGAAAAACAGACAATGACAGATTCTCCACATGCTGGACTACAGCGGCTACAAGACTGAACGTAAGAACTGTAGTAGCCTTGCCAATCTAGGACCATGGTTCAACCCCCCAGGTCTGACAACTCTGAACTTAAATTCATACTCCCACCTGTCAAAATCCTGAATCCGTGCGCAATCAGCTCTCAAGCAGGCTCAGGCGCAAGAACGAGTCTGCCACCTCTGTCACAGCCTGCATGTTGCTTTTTCCCAAGGCCACCGTCCCACACAATCTTAAGCCAAAAGCTGTCGCTTGAAGGTGAGCCCAAATCCAAAACCAAATCATGAGGGCTTGTCTGAAGAAATCTTAAGATTTCTTTGGCTTTCCGGTAGCTGGTACGAGTTCAGAATGAAGGAACAGGATTGTATATAGATATATATATATGTATGTATATATATATTTATTATATCTAAAATTATCTCTATATATGTGTATATATATATATACATACAGAGGAAAGGGCTGCTACAGGGATGAATTTCTCCATTTCCTAACGGGTGTGTTGCAGGGCTGACAGCTGTAGAGGATCAATGAAAATCCCTGTGGCATCCCCTCTTCCTCCTTTCTCCTGAGGTCCTTCCTGATGTGGTACGAGTGAATGAGCTCATCCGGCAGAAAAGCCTGCTATTTCTCGACCCTGCCTGTACAATCCTCATCCCAATAGAACCATATATACATATCTATATATATATATATCTCCTAAAACAAGGCGCCTAAAACTTCCAGACTCTCAACCCTGAACTGCAACCTGCAAGCTGACCCTTAACCCTCAACTCCTCGCCCAACGCCCTTAACAGGGAACCTTTGACCAAAAGCTTTTTGAGAACCCATATAACTACATGATATCCTGCTATAATATCTATATATATATATATATGTGCACATATTCCTATAACCCCCTACTCCTAAACCCTAAACCCTTGAGGAAAGCCTCCTTCAGCTGGCCCCAGTTGTCTTTGCTCTCTGCTGCGGGACCAGAGATGTCCAGCAACCAGAGGTAGTTTGTGGGATCCTACGCAAAGAACACACCCTAACAGAGGACTCTTGGTTTGGGAGCAAGGTCTAGAGTGTTGGCGTTTATGGTGCAGGGTTCTGTGCTTCGAGGCATTGAAAGGTCCCATGAGAGACCCGACATTTTCTGCAGCGGTTTCTGTGAAAGGGTTATGCCAACGGTCGTTTTCGAGGGTATGACTGACAGAGCAGAAGGCTGGGGATGAAGGACTGTTACAAGAGCTACACGCGATTGGCATACCAAGCTGATGAACAGACCTCGAAGCCTCAGACTTCCGAATCCAACAGGGGGCCGGCTAGTGGCAGCATGGGGTCTGGGTGGAAGCAAATTGGGATCACGGAGTTAAAGTAGTCTCATTGCAGGATTATGACGCATTTTTTGGAGCTCTGAAATGACTTGTTGGGGCTCCTTCTCGCCAGCCTTTGCTGCTCCTTCATCCGTCACCTCAGCAGTGCAGAGGCTTTGCTATCCTTGCAGTTGATGAGACGCAGAGGAGTGCAAGAGGGACCATGTTGTCAGAATTCTCTTGGTTGTCAGTGCCGGAGCTTCAGGCTCTTACTTTGAGGTTAAAGGTGCGGCAGGGTCAAGCTTCCATGACCCACCAAAGCGTTGAGAAGACGGGGCAATTCCCCCCTCGTTGGAAAAATCAAGTTCAAATCAAGCACGCTTGCTAGGGATGTCTGTTTGGGGATACTATTTGGGTCTGCCAACTCCCGTCCACCCGAAACCGGTATACACATCTTTTTGTCAGCCAATGACATCCGTAGAACCTTTTAGGTGACATACACAGAAAACACCATGCGCAGTATCTTTTAGCGTGTGAGCCATTGTCTAAACTCCTAGTATCCCCCTTAATAACCCCTATAGTAGTCCCCTATATAATCGCCCATATAACCCCCCTTTAAGGAGTTTAGACTATAGCTCATGTCAAAAAGAAAAGATGCCAGCCGCACTGCGGCAGGGTTAACTACGCCAGGATGAAGGAAGCCGGCCAAAAAGCCACTGGGCTCGGCAGCCTGAAGCTCCATCCCTATATAGCCCTATATTATCCCAATATTACCCCAGTATACCATGATATTACTATTATTACTACTACTATTTTTAGTATTATTACTATGGAACCCAAGGCCCTGACGTGAATGACGATTTTGTGACGCCGCTCGAACAAGGGGATTTCCGAGTTGTCCTTGCTGGTCCAAGCGGCCAGCCAAATACCAAGCGCGTGTGATCAGGGGTCAGGGTCTACTGCAATATTGCCGCAATGCAGAGGTCAATGCGTAGGCCAATCCTAACAGAATCTGTGGGGACCGAGGATGTGCACCGGCGCAGGGCAAGCATACGTGCAAGTAGGAGCTAGTCAACAACCTAAGGGCATGATTCAAAAACCCTTTTTTGCCAAGTTGAAGACTTTAGATTGCAGGTGCTGCTCTGGATGAGCATCCGTCCAGTTCAACTGCTCCCTAGTCCTATGTCCGATTCTTGGAAACCAAATGCTACGGCGCACCTGTACATACGGTTCCATCAGAGGACCCCCTTACGAACAGGCATCGCGTGTCATCAAGAAGAAGATGCTACAAGATCGGAAGCCATCGGCAACTGTGAAACCGTGTCCCGTTTGCAGGTCCCCCATTATAGGATGCCAAAAAAGGGGCAGACCTTTCAGACGCCCAGGACGCCGGCCACTGGCTAGCTGTTCGACAACAGCTTGATGAAGTCGACAGCATTTTTTGCTACTACAGGCTCTTCACCTTCATAAGTAGAATTGCAAATCAGTCAGCTGTACCCAACTCCCTGGAGGATCTAGAGGGTGGATCGCACGAAAAGGATAACAGTTATTGTATAACACGCTCAGCGGGGCTCTTCTTTCCAGATCCTCCCAGGGTCTGGGTAATGATGGCCCACCCACACAACCACAAGAAACGTGAGCTCTCTCGAAATCGGGATCCTGTGCGTTCTTACACACAACCATCTCCCAACAAAAATTTTAACAGATTTCACAAAAGGCTCCAAACCCTCAATGAGATTGAGCAGCCTGCAACACTCCCGATTGCCCAGCCCACCGCGGCGCAGTTTACAAACACGAACTGCTAAAAACGTCAGGATCCATCTCCCTTGAAAGAAACCCCAAGATTCTGCATCACCCTTCTGCTCCTGTGGCTCAGTGCAGGAAGCTCCAGAAACACCTTGCGTAACCTGGGCAGATTTTCTCAAACCTTTGGAGAGGAATTACAGTAGATCCACTAGGTTCCCCCGGTTCTTTTCAATACCGGCGTTTCTTATAGATTTTGGAATATGAGGACATATATATATATATACACATAATGCAGTATGCAGAGATGTAGAGGAGAACTCAGGGTTGAATCCAGTGTCTTCTCACACCTGTGCGTCTGCGTATCTCTGGGATCCAGATTTTGGGGGCCCAGGCCTCTGAGAACGGAATGGACGCGGCTGTCGGGCTTCAAAACCATTCTCGACATGAAGTATGACGGTATAATATGGCTTCTACACGACAAGCTTCTTCTTTTTCTTGCAAAGCTTTTAGAAGGGATCCGACTCCTCCCCATTCTGGCCAGAAGACTTCTAAAAAATCCAGCTGGGCTGAACTCTTGACTGTCAGGTCTAACTGTTGGTAAACACGGAGTCTGAAGATAGGATCCTACAAAGAACGTTTCACCAAAGGCATGCTCTGTCCTAGATTCGAGGGCTTCTATACTCATGCAGACACATGCCTAGACACATGTACTTACACACATGTATGTATGTATGTATGTATGCATGTATGTATGTACGTACGTACGTACGTACGTATGTACGTACGTAGGTATGTACGTATGTATGTATGTATGTATGTATGTACGTATACATATTTATATGTGGATATCAACATGAACTACACAAGGTTCCAACTGATTCTAGTTAACGTATTTCCTAATCTACCGCCAAGCTGGGGCGCAGGATTCCTGAAGTTCATTACACGTTCAGCAAACCAAGTTCGATGCCATATCGCGAGTCCTGTCCTGTTTGTTCCTATGATTCTTCCGGAATCTGGGGACACTGCAAGTTATGCTGCCACTATTTCTTGGCAGGCACGGTGAGTATTTTTAGTGGATTGTAGCCTGAGGTTATCTATTGTAGGCTTGGCTCCTTTCAAGAACCTCCCATGCCATGCTGTACCGAAGTCAACATGCGGCACCTTCTATCATTAGAGCCATCATGTAGCTCTGCCAAACACTACTCAGATGCTGCAGGAGATTGACTATGCACAAGTGCTGCTTCCGCAAATCCCTTGTCAGGTGTGTCTTACTGAGATTTGGCACCGTAAAAAGGCGGCCATGTTGCGCCACTAGGCTCCCGGAAGGTTCCCTGCGCTGCAAGTAGGAGAGGTCCTCTGCACATGAGCCTCCCATGTAACGACTCACTCAATACCCACACCCCGTACCTGCATGCCAACTGGGTGCTTCTCAAGATCAGGCATAAGACCACCAAAAAAGAGCCCTCCCTGTGCCCCAAACTGCTGCCCTTGACCAAAATTCCGAGAATCCGTTTAGCGGTTGTACAATATCCCTATCAAGCTCATCCGTGTAATATAGACATGCATGTCCCATATCATCGCAGCACAAAAGGCTGCACCCACATCCCAGAACCCAATCCTTTCTCCAGACCCCCGGGAGGATATGGAAAGTAGATCATACAATTCACCAGAAGATATATAAAGCACGGCATTGCGGGCTTTGCTTTCTAGATCCTCTCAGGGGTCAGAGTGCTCTATGCGATCAGGCTGCGATTCCCGGGCAGATGCTCGACTCGTACTCGTAGGTTACATAGCCTTGGGTGGAGGTTTAGGGATTGAGGGCTTCGGATTTAGGACTTCGGGAAGAATGCAAGGGTGGGCTCAAAACGTTTTAGGTAAGTAGGCTACACAACCGTGATTGGCCCGTCGACACACTCAGAAGCAAGGCTGCCAAGGTGGCTTTGAACCTGAAAGCCTCTACATAGGTCAGGTCATGTGGGTCGGATATGTTTTGCTGCTAGTACAATAGATGAGGACCCCTTGTACAGAACCCTAAAGAAGGCTTCTGGGAAGCTGACTAGCAAAAGGGACTCCGCAACAGCTTCAGGTGGCCAAGGAACCTCAAAGACTATCAGGCCTTGGAGAGCTTTCAACGCAGTGGGACTTCGGGGATCTTGCGACAGCAGATCCTTTCTACCCATAGTTGGGCGTTGATGATGAGGTCTCGACCTCTTGGTGCTGACTTTGATGTACAAGGAAAAGGAGCTAGAATCTTGCTCTCAAACAGAGTGGGTATAATACTCTACGGCATACGCGAGCTCACCGTAAGATTTGCGTAGTGACAGCTTCTGTTTGCAGGGAAATGGTACTGTCAAGCTTCATAAACTCCGAAAGCCACATCCCAGATCGCGACTCCAAATCAGAATCCGTACGCCTAAAAGCACAAATCCCAAATCTTCCAAAACCTGAAGCATAGAAAGCGGACACCGTAAAGCCTTCAGAAGAATTGTGACCAGCAAATCCTTAACGTAAACATTCTCAAGTTATTAAGCCTAGACTTTCAATCCCCTTAGGCACCCTAAACCCTAAACCCTAAACCGCGTTAACCCCACTACAGCCTCCTAAACCTTTAGCCCTGAACATGACTTCGAAGCCGGGCCACGGCGATTTCGGAAAGTCCTTTCTGATGGCGATCCGATGAAGTTGAACCTTGGAGTGGAATTTACCCAGACCCCTGGGAGGATCTAGAAAGTAGAACCCCTATTACTACTATTGGGTAGTTTCTAGGTACCCTTAAGGGGGATCTACTTTCTAGATCCTCCCAGGGGTCTGGGCAGCTTATTTTCAAAATTATGGATCCAATTGGTCATAGATTATACTACGGCACCAAATATTTAGTTTAGGGGTACCAAACCGGAACCCTAATTTGTGAACTTCACCTTGGGGGGTTTTTAAAAATACTTACTACTGAGCAGACGGGGGAGGGGGAATGGATCCCAAGACCTGTTCCTATAATACTGATGTTCACTCCCCGACTCCTCCCAAAATACCACTAAGATAGCCTAAACTCATAGGGGCTTATACAGGGGACTACTATATTATAGGGGTTACTAAGGGGGACACTAGGAGTTTAGACTATAGCTCACATAGAGATTACAAAGCAATGATAAATGCCTTCTCGAGGATTGGATAAGGAACGTTGGCAAAATCTGCTCTTTGGAAATGAAGGAAGAGGAACTGAGCGGTAGTTGAACCAAGTAAGTATATGGATTCTTCTTGAAAGTCCTCTAACCACCGGGAGGATTAATGTTGCATTTTTTGGGGGGGAGCTCTAGCCGCCTCAGGGTTAGTACCCTCAGGCTTATCCCCAAACCATGGGATGTAGCCCTTGATTAGAGAAGTTGGGGTTAACAAAAGTCAAGGCTACAAACATCAGGGGGTACAAACTTAAAGTCTTTGAAGTTCAAGACTCCAAGGTGAATAAGACATTTCCCGTGCAAGTAAGGGCAGGTGGTGCAACACTACTTCAGCTCAAAGGTCCTGAATCCCTAGATTAGTCCACGCAAATCTTGTACCTGCCGATTGCTGGTAGGGAGCAGAGGAAATGGTTTACTGTACTACTTGCATTCCCTAACCCTAACAGAACAGTAGACCTAAAACAAAAGACACACGAAAAAAGCATTCCTGGTTGCTTCACTCCCCGAATGTGTTTTCGTGTGATTTTCCTTTCGTTTTTCTTAGTTTTGGATTCATCGTTGTGGTTGTGGTTGCTTTTTCTTCTGTCCTGTCGTTTTCCAACCAAAAGCCCCACATTTTGCATTTCGCAGCGGGCCGGGACATAATCCTCTGGCAAGGTGTTAGTCTAGAATCCCACATGATAGTTTCCATGCAAGCGGGACTCGAACAGATATGAGCCTTCTGATGGGGACTCCCAAAAGAAGCCTAATTTCTGGAAGCCCCCAGAGATGACTGAGCTAGTAACTTCACCAGGCCTCTGTTCGTCTTCTGCGAGGAGGCTACCACATCCACCGCCTTCAGAGTCAAAGTTTAGAGTGTAGGATTTGCCTAAACCATCCCTACAGTAAGAGCCTTTTGGTGAGGGTCTTCACGAGTATGTAGTTTCAATGAAAGTCAGCTTGGGCCATCCACTCAAAATCTAACCAGATGCATCCACGAGTCTTGCAACAAGAGTCAGCAAAAGCAGAAACAAGACTTACCTGTATAGCTGAGCCGTAGATGGGATGGGTAGGGGACAAAGTTCGTCCATCAGGATAACCTAACATGAAAGCCATAAACAGCGCAGGACAGGCAGGCCCAAAAGGCACTTACACCAGGAGGAACCGAGAAGTGACAAGACCCGTCAGAACTTTCGTGAAGGCTAGACCTGGAAGTGATCGTGGAGAGGTCTTTGCCTCTCCGGCTGTATTTTCCACATGTGATTGCCGTCGAAAGTATAGGTCAGACTCAGGCCCTAGATTGTGTAGAACAATGCTCTTGATCTCTGGAGAGCATGTTAGTGTTCGCAGCCATCTGTCTCAAAGGCCCCTTCTCTAAGCGATTCATTCGCGGATATGTTCCAAGCAAGTTCTACCCCGCAAATTTAATGTGATCAGTCCTTGCTTAGGAGGACCTCCAAAACAGGAGCGATGATTTGGGGAAACTGCCAGTTTGCTTGCAGAGATTGTCGAGATGAAGGCTTAAGCAGCCTTGCTGATGGGCACGGACGGCTTCTTCTCCACCGGTGTGTCGAAATAGCCGATCAAGTCCTGCCAGCATAAGCGTGGCTGCAGTGCGGGCTCTCGGGCATCGAGGGAAAACAGATGGGTGTACGCTTGAGGGTTGAGGCTGCTGAGGGTTGTTCAGTTCGTGCAAGAGATGTTCAGATTCCGCTTAATACCTCACATCTCTATGGGTGCAGCCTTTCAAGTCGCGCCCTCTCCAGGAAACATGCGTGACAATGAGGTGAACATTCATGCTCCCCTGAGCTATGAAAACCTGCAACCTGTGCTTTGATCCTCAGGGAGCACCTCCATTTCATGTCCAGTAGTCGGTAGATGAATAAACAACCTAGCATGCCCTGAAGAAAAGTAAGTGCGAAGCACACTTCTACCAACTAGCATCGAACTCCACAAGAAGCCCTTTGAAGATGTTCTGTGACAAAGGGACCTACCGGGGCTCAATGTTAATTTAGGGAAGTGCATCTGTGCGACTGGCACCAGAGTTCTGCTTGTCACGGAGCACCGCACGGCCGTTCAGCAAATTTTGGCCAGACTATACATTCCACGGTTTGTCAGAGGCGGAAAAGATTTGACCATGGAGCTTGCTTCGTAACATCTATCATCTACCCTTCTCCAAAACGAGCACTGCCCTATATGAGTTTCCACTTGTTCTTGGGGACGGTATTGTTTAGAGTTTCCGGCTCAGGACTAGACTCTAGGATCCTGGCACCACCTCTCCTAAACCGTGGTGTCAGTGATCTAACCCTTGAACGCAACACTTTCAACTATCCACGCATGAACCTTGACTCATTCAACCAAGCAAGCCTCAACAAAGAAGGCTAGCGGCCTAAGGCTGCTGGCCCTGAACCCCCGCCCAGGAAGAAAATCGCACGAAATCCTTAAAACATTGTCGACAGTCACAACCTCGTTGCCATAAACCTCTAACCTTGAATCAGCCTTGACTTGAAAACCCCTCCGGCACATGTTTATCTCACGTAGCGCATTTTCTGGTCGTGAGTGAGGTACGCATTGTAGCTAACTGCCGAACATGGTTCAAGCATCAAAAGCCCGTAAACCTTGTGGTAAACCCCCTATCCCCTGGGCCCCGCTAGACCCTTGCCAAAATCCTTCGGGCCTTCGTCCCCTTGGAGTTTGGATCGTTGGGGTCCGTGGACAGCGGTACGCGCAAGACCACGAGCTCGCCACCTCTCAAGGGTCTAAGTGGGGGGTGTGAAACAAGTGATCTCGTGGGATCCTCTCAAAGAAGAGGGGTTGACGCCCCCGCTCCCAAAAGCTCACATTTCATGAGCTGGCTTTGAGACAAACCCTCGCCTTTACAAGGGTCTATAAGTGGACGCCTGTAGCTCCCGAGCTCAACACTCGTGACCCCCAGGAGATGGGAGGCCCTACGAAGGCTCTGACTAGAGCAAAAACTGTTCCGGAACATGATATGGCATCCTGGCATGTTGGCAAGCAGTTCGAAGCCCATTAAGGAGGCTCTGTGCGCCTACGGCCTGGGAGGCTCCCGCCCAGTCAGAGCCAACCGTTCATGGTTCCGGCTCCACACGACAGCTCCGCCGGTTTTTAGGAAGTGGGGGGTTCATAAGCAAGGTGGACCCTTTACGCGCGCCAGTGACTCTTAGGAACACACAGACGCATGTAGGGATATCTTGGGAGATATGACGTCTGGTCAGGATCTGGCATTCGTTGCCCGCCATCCTGGTGACTCACTTTGCACTCGACGGCTTCCATTTTTCCATGAAGAGTTTGCAGTTCTTTGTAAGACCCTAAGACCCTGCGAGCCCAAGAGTACACTAGTCATTGATGATGGCCATCTCTATAAAAACCGATTATACACATACACCCAAAACCTCAAGGGAGGCGCATGATCTTTTAAGAAGACCTCAGGTCATCCGGTAAATCGCACAAGAGCCCACGAATCGGATTGCGGGTTGGTCCTACGAATCGGATCCGGGGCGGCATGAATCGGATCGCGTCCAAAAGGGTGGATCGGATCGGGGAAAGCGCGAATCGGATCGCAGGGAGTCCTGAAGCGGATCGGACCCTAAACCCTAAATCTCGAACCACAAACCTTAAATTCTGAAGGCGACCTGAAGCCGACAGGCTCACGACCTAAACCCCCAGCCCTATAGAGCATAAACTCTAGACCCCTCAACCCTGAAACCTACAGTCTACAACGCTAAATCTTCAACCCTGAAACATAAATCCCTAAATCCCGAAACCCAGCCCCCGACCCCAGACCCTAAGCCCTTACACTAAAGCCCCAAACCTTGAATAAACCCTAACACCCTAACCCTAGCCGTAAAGCCCTAGAAAGTTGCACGAACCAGAGGCCCACTGCCAAAGACCGTGCAAACCAACCCCAAACTCTAAGCCCGCAAAACCTACATCCCACCCAGGCCGCTTCAGCTGTACCCACCCTTGTCCATAACCCCTAAAGCCCAGACCACATACCATAAATTCCGAAGCCCAAACAAACCCCCACCCTCGACCATACACCCTAAAGCCCTCAACCCTGAAGCCTACAACTTTAAACCCTCAACCCGAAGCCCCTAGGCCAAAACCCCCAACCCTAGACCCTACACCCTCAGACTAAAAACCCTACACCCTCAACCACGGACCACAAGAAGCCCAAAATCCTAAACCCAACACCCTGAACCCGAAAACCTACAGACCAAAGCCCTGAAACCGGCCAACCAAATCCTAAACCTTAAGCCTTACAAACCCAATCCACTGTGTCCCCCATCTACAATGCACTGATCTGGCTCCCTGCTTGATCTGATTCGTGCCTCGTGCTGATCTGATTTGTGCCTCCCCCTGATTTGATCCGCGGCCACCCTTGGATCTGATCTGCGGATCTGATCTGATCCGCTGACCGGTGTGAGCTGACTCGTGAGCTGATCCGCCGCACTGACTCGTGTATGGCTTAATCTGATTCCTAGAACTATCGGATAGAAGAGGTCGCATGCATCTCTGTAGCAGCTACTTGGTCCCAAACAGGTTCACATTTAATGACATGCTGCATGCTTTCGGTCATGAACATGCACAACATGGTATTAACGTACTCGGGCCCTTTCATTAGATGTTTCACAAACCAGCACGAGATAATTGAGGCATCCGGCAAGCCATATTTGGACCTAGTGATGTGTGATTCGTAGTCATTGACCGTTTAGAGCAAGTTCTCGCAAAAAAACATCTTACACCACCGGAGACTTCCAATGACATAAGTTCCAGAATTTCAAGGAAAATCCTGAGTTCTAAGGGGCCCTTGGGGTCCCCAAAGGGGTTATGGAGGAATGAGGGGGGTCTCCCTCAGAGATTACAGAGACGCCAGTTGGAGAAATTCCCATGTGAAAGCTGCCGGCATCTGCTACATGGCTCTCCCTTCTGCCTTGTTCAGGGTTTCCAGCCACAACCAGAGCTGTCGACTTCTTGACCTCATGAGATGAATCCCGCTGAGGGCAGTAGCAGGGACCAAGCCTCTCAAGTTTCGGATTTCAGGATAGTAAATCATAGAGAAAGCTGTAAGGTCCCACCGAGTGAGGCCATTCCTGTTACCTAAGCCCTAAATTATCCTCAGCCTCCAAACCTTTGCTTTATATCCGTTTTCCCCAGGCCGTCTACACACAATGCAGGGAAGATAAGATCTCTCCAGTCTTCAGATTGTCCTAGCCCTTTTCCTTCATATGCATGTAAAACTGCTCGGATTCCTGAAGCTACGGAAAGACGAAGCGTGGAAACCTACACGCCTCTAAAGCCTGATCTACCTATTTAAGCTTATATGCTCCAAACCGTAGCCCGTAAAGCCTGCATAAATCCAAAAACGTACACCCTGAACCCTCACGCACAACACCTGAACCGCAAATCCTAAGGCCTAAAACCTTAAGCCGAAACCTTTGAGTTTTACACTAAGCGCTTTGAAAACTAAACTGTGCAACCGAAAGTCTGAATCCTAAACCTACTGTAGACCCTGAACCCTAACACTGGGATTGAAAGCTCAGGCTTGTGCTCCGGGTGGTGGCATCTCGTTCTGCTCGAAGGCCCGCCATGTCCTGTCAGTCTGGTAGGTCTTTACGCCCTGGGTTTGGGTGTCCTGGAAGGACCCTTAAGGGTGTAGGAGTCTCGGACCTTAGGGCTGAGCAGTGTTGAGGGCGTGCATGAGGAGTCTGGGATAGTTGGCAAAAAAAGGCTTTCGGGTTTAGGATTTGGTGTTCGCAAGCTAATGAGCCGTTGCGAGGAAGTGGCGTCAAGCACCAAAGCCATTACTCAAATGACATGATTCAGAAGCGCAGTTGAGGTGCCTGCAAAGCCATAATTTTCTGACAGTTGAAGGCTGCCCACATTGGTGGCATGGCCACGTGACGGCACTCATGGTGGCTCTTTCAACTGTGGCACCATGGGGGGGAGGCTGAAAGGGATGGTCCATGCTAGAACTGCGCACACAAGCTGGAAACCACTAGAAATTCTGAAGCAATCCAGTAACCATGAGTGCAGTATGCCTAAACACCCCCCCCCACATGCCAGGCCCTGCTAAGCCAACATCTACGTTCTCCCATTCATTAGCAGAGAAATTCAGAAGACTCCTTATTGGCCAAATGCAATTTTGGAAGTACAGCTGAGCAAGCAATGCGATAAGACTCGCGGTTGTCCTTAATATCAATAGAACTACACATGCTGATGATGATAACCCTGAGGCCCTAATCCTACATCCCCAAGCCCTAACCTGCAACTCCTAACCCCTAACCCCTAAACCCTCAAACGTAAAAAACCCTCCACCCTGAAGCCCCGAAAGCCCTCAAATCTAGAATCATATTACCCAACACGACAACCTAAACCTTCAACGTATGTAGAATACTTTAGACGACATTTAGGGCTTTTGGATTGTTGTACCTGCTTTTGAGGTTCAGGAAATCCCAAAAGCAAAGCACAGGCCCCGCTTCGGCAGCTTGATTTGCCAGCCAACTTCAGCTCGTGCAGGCTCCACCGCCCTTAGATGTATGACATAACCCAGACCCCTCGGAGGATCTCGAAAGTAGATCCCCCTTAAGGGGTCCTAGGAATTACCCAATAGTAGTATAGGGTACCCTAACGGGGGTTCTACTTTCTAGATCCTCCCAGGGGCTTGGGGGGGCTTGGGAATGTACGAGCCTAAAAAGAACAGTGGAGAATGAAGTGGAACATGACATGAAACTTGGGTTTACAGAAGGGGTTATAGGGGTTGTAGGGATTGTAGGCCGTGCAGAAGCCTAAATAGGTAGACTAGGTCTGTGGGGCATTTTGTAGCATCCTGAGATAAAGAATATGTGTACATACCTATATCACAGAAAACTATTGCTCGTCTTCTACAGCCAGCCTGCGCTAGGAAAGTCTATGACCTGGAGATTTTTTTGATAGCAAGTCAGCCAAGGAGACTCTTGCCTAGTAAGTACAGGAATCAAACTTCCCAGATCCCTGGGAGGACCTAGGAAGTAGATGCCCCTTGAGGGTTCCTAGAAATTGCACAATAGCAGTATTATAGGGTACCATATTGATTATTGGGGGTTCTACTTTCTAGATCCTCCCATGGGTCTGGGTTGGGCTTTGGTATGAAAAGGTTGATTCAGCAAGGTTCAGGATCCAAGGGTGGGGAACCTGAGGTGCCGCTGGCGAATTGTTGGCTAAGAAAAGACTGAACCCCAGCAACGCTGGGAACATGCGCCTGGTACCTCACGACCCCAGACCCCTGGGAGGATCCAGAAAGAAGTTCCCCTTAGAATAGTACCCTATACTACTACTGCGAAGTTCCTAGGAACCCTTAAGGGGGATCTACTTCCTAGATCCTCCGAGGGGTCTGGGACGGAAGAAGCCTCAACACTGGCCACGACTGTGCCCTGAAATTGAAGCGTACCATATCCCGATGCCCTATTGTAAATGTTCAGTCTTTCGGAGAACATTCATGGACTTAAACCAAGCAGACAACTGACTAAAAGTATAGGGTCCAGGGCAGAGAAAGCATAAATCCGGATGGATTATAGAGACAACCCCCCAAAGCGATCCAAAAAGATATCTGCTAGAAAACCTAGAACTACTCCCCATTTAATTATCTTCCACATGACCCCAGGGAATTGACATGTAGAACCACTGGAAGATATGAGCAAGCCATGGAATTGCCATGGAATTGCTCAAGCTTTTGAATGCTGCCAGGCTCAGATTCCAATGCTTATCTGTGAGAGCTACAGAGTTTAGGGCATAGGGTTTAAGGCGCTGCGTGTTTCAGGGTTTGGGGCTTGAGGTCAGGTATGCAAGGAACTAAATGAAGCAGGATGATGCCACTTATGATGAACTCCAAAGAAAGCGCAGCTCTGATCAATTGCTATCTTCTTCACGGCCACCTGGGAAAACGCCCGTCAAACCCACAACAACAAAGAGTGTGGTTGTAAGGTGAGAAGTTGGAAGAACCAATCCTACACCTGGAAGTGCAAACCCAAAACCTTCCAGTTTGGGGCCGGGATCCTTTTGAACCTTAAGAACCCGAAACTTGGGGCATGCTTCTTGCTCCTCATCCGACATCCTATCCTATACCCTAGCCCTTATAACCCCTAAACCCTAAATCCTGAATTTTGAATATCCCGAAGCCTAGATCCTACAAGTAAACGGTAAGCTCCTGTCTCTAAACCCCAAAGCCCGAATCTCTAGCAGGGTGTTCCTGTACAGCTCCTCTGAAGTCCAGCGGCGGCGCGGCTAGGAGGGCTGAGGTGGCCAAGAGCGCACCACGGCGCGGCAAAGTTGCCTGGCTCTATACCCAGACCCCTGGGAGGATCTTGAAAGTAGATCCGCCTTCAGGGTTCCTAGAAATCACCCTATAGGGTAACATATCCAGGGTTCTACTTTCTAGATCCTCCCAGGGAAGGAAAGCCCTGGAAGATGCTGCGGATGGAGGAACCAATACCTTCTATTTGGGAATCGCAGTATGTTGGGTAAGAAGGGACGATTATGAGGCCATGTATGGGGATCAATTCCTCCCCCCGCTGTCCGCTTGTTGAGGATCTGGGGACACATCGGGTTCGGACCGGAGGTCTCTGTTGGGGTTCTATGGGGATTTTCAGAAGCATCCACATAAAGAGCTGTGGGTGATTGTCCAGTCGTATCACTAGTAGTTGTATACTTGACATGTGGAGGGATCCCAGTCTTCTCTTGTGGTCACTCCTGGTGGGTCTGGGATTGCGTAGTCAAGAATAAGGCACAAGTGCCCAGACTGTCAGGAATTACTAGTAATACTGACTTCCTACCAATATTCCGACTTCTTACTACCCAGGAGCCTCCACGTAGGAGCTTGAGGGATTCCCGTTGGAATGTCCACGGCCATGCAGGATTGGTCTAAGGTTGCCTTGTGTAATCCAAGTAGTCAGCCCATAGCTAAGACCCAGGAAAAAGTTAGGGACCCACATTAGGGGCCCATGGTTAAGACTTTAAAAATTGGATTTGGGACCAGGACACCCTCCAAAGAAAAACTATATCCCTAGAAGTCCTGATGCCAAAACAACCTGCGTGACCTTAGTATGTGACAATACCATAACCCACTAAGTTTACGGTACTTAGGCCATGCAGGATTTCGAATAGCTATATGGTCTTTTTCCAAAATGGTAGTACCAAAATCATCTTACTATCAAAAGCCGTACGAGTTCCCATCTAGGGGTGGGGCAGGCAACCTCCCCATCGACCCCGGAGTGGTTTCGATCAAGTACCCCTGTTAGAGCTTTGGTGGTGGCTTTAGGGTTTGGGATTCGGAGTTCAGGTGGGTTTCCTGAGGTTTCAAGTCCAAAGCAAACTACACGGACTCAATCTCCTCACGGCCTCGTTGGACGATGCCGGCGGAAGGAAAGCTTGTGGCCACACCTTGCATTGAGGCTTGGGACTTGGGGCTTCAAGGCAGTTGCGGCTTAGGGGTCAGGGTAGCCCCTAAGCCTAGAACCCCAAATCCTTTGCCTTTGAAGGCACTTGGGTTTTTCCGCCTTCGGATCTGTGCATGGAGGTACAGGAGCGCCACAGGCGGGTCACAATGTTTTGAACCCCGCCATAAAACAAACCGAACAATGATACAACGCAGGATGAACCCTTGTGTTGATGGTGGTCTTCGATTGTGCTAATGAGTCCCTGTTTCAAGCGCTCTCATCCATTTAGAATATGTACTCGGGCGCCCTTGTTTTGAGAGTAGCCATGTGCAGGCCAGGGCGCACAAACCAGGGCCAGCACGCACAGCACCAAGCGGCCACGGCGGTGGTCAGCCATGGCTGAGGCTCGCTTATGCGAAGCCCGTGGAATGACCCGGGAAACCCTACAGCCCCAAAAACGTTCGACGGATGGTAAAGCTGAGGCATGCTTGTGACAAGGTTCATGAAGTCTCCAATGGTTGTGGCTGGCTCGCATTACTGGATGTATCATAGCGCTTCATGGCCAGGGGCATCTGTGGCTTAAACAGCTTCGGCAGAAAGCGGATTGCGACAGGCTACAGGTTGAAAGCAGCTCCTGCTCTCTCCAAGAAACCCTGCTAGAAACACACCTTTGCAGAAGCAGGCTTGAAGAGTTGATGAGCGGAATAAAGTGTAAGAGCCACAGAGGCGCACAGTTTGAGCTTGTCTTCCGGGCTTTGAAGTCAAGACACCCCTCTCCACGGCGTAGACTGCACTTCCAAATTTCAAGCTGCCTTGCGGATGACGAGTTCCTCGAGGTCTCTTGACTGCCTATTGTTGTTAGTACTATAGTATTGTTATTAACTGCTATTAATATTGTCAGTAGTATTAGAATTAGTCTTTCCTGAAGTCTTCGGCGCATCTGGAGCTAGTCCAAGGTCTCCCTGCGGAATGATTTGGACAAATCCGGAGCCCTGTCCGCTTCAGAGCAAACTTGGCAAAGATGGGTTCACCATGGGCTTGTCGACCCAACAATATACTATAGCAGTTTCCATTTTCTTTCCTACTATCCGTATATAACCCCAATATTCTATAGTAGTTTCCATTTTCGTTTCCATTATCCGTATACAACCCCAATGTTCGATAGTAGTTTCCATTTTCTTTTCCATTATCCCTATAACTATGACGCAAATCTATAGCCACTACAGTCAATGTAGATTGTGGTCGGCTACATGTGGTTGTTACGGCTTATAGCTGCTAATCTAGGCTCTCCACCTAAACCGTTCCCTCGCGCATCTGGATTGAGCATAATTCTGCGGTGGGATTCGCGGGCTTCCTTCGGTGCGGGACTTGATTTGGGATTTTCTTACTATGCACACAGCACCCAATTCCTGCAGCAGCTTGCTTACTCAGGCTTACTCCCCAGCTGCTCACAGAGGTATGTTGGCCAAACTTGACGGCGAAAATGGCTTAACGTTGCCCAGGAATCCGCTAACAACGCTGTTCTACATGGGGTTAGATGCGTAGCTACCTGGGATCAGGAAAGGATAAATTGATTCGGTGGCCGCCTGCGCAGCATACGCCAAAGGGAAGGGGTCACATAAGTTGTTCGAGATACTATACCTATAAGAGAATCATAGAGGAATACTGTTGATGGAAGAAATCTTGCACCAACTTACGTCCCTAAATCCAAGGCACTACAGTATCTTAGGGCCCCTAGGTGGTACAAGATGATATCCATCAACTGTAGTATGTCCTGTTCTTCACGCCTTAGAATTCCAATTTGAACTCTTGGCAAAAACAATGTGTGTGAAGCAAACTCCCTTCTTTTTCAGCTGCTGTGCCGCTCTTTAGCTTTCTCTCTCGCAGGGTGGCTTCTCAAATTTTGAATCGTCAAGGGGACGCTTTGAGAAACTGCCGAGCTCTAGACCATGATTGCTAGTAGTGAGTGGGGAATGGGAGCCTACATCCTTAATTAGAATTGTCCCTAGATGACCCTTTCGACATAATCCATGCCTTCATTCCCTAGTCACCACCAGCAAGAGCATACACATCGCTCTGCCTACCTCGAATGCTAATCTGGGTTGCTGTTAAGGAACTTAAATTAAGTTACGATAGTGGGTATACATAGTAAATAATAGGGTTTCCCCAATATAGTAACTTAATTTAAGTTCCTTAACAGCAACCCAGTAATTTGTCATGCCTTGGCATCAAAGGCTCCCAGCAATTGTGCGGGCCGCTCGCCAGACAGCACCATAGGATCCTGGACACTGGCCACTGGAACCCCGTGAAAGCGAAGGAATTCCTAAAATCATAGATCCAAGGAGGCTAAGGGCAGGCAGTCAGTTTTGAGAGCTTCATGCCTGTGGATGCTTCTTGACACGAACTAAATGCTGGTGTGCTAGGACTTGAGTAATAAGGCAACCATGACTGGATGCTGGTTACGGTCAATAGGGATAGGACTAATGAGGCATCACCATTCCCCATACACTTGTGATTACTCTGCAGCTGCTGCCGCTGCTGCTAAGATTGCTACTACAACAACATGAAAACTACAACTGCCGCTACAGAATCTACTACAAAAACTGAAAAACACTACGAACTACCACTTCTAATGCTGCTGCCGCTGATGGTGCTATCATACACCGGTACTAGCCAGCTTGTCAAGGACCAGCCTTGCGCAAGGCAACTGGGATTCAGTAACAAAGGCTACTAGGTAGGGTTAGTCTGCCACGTGTTCTGATTTGCACCACAACTGGTTTCTCATCTTCCATAGATGATATTTGCTTATGGTTCTGGATCTTGGAGAAACGTTTTTGCTAAAGCACTGCGGATTAGGCCTGCTGATTCTGGCGTTAGGGCTGAAGGTTTAAGGTAAATTCAGGGGACCTTTTCCAGTCCGTGCAGAACTGCGGAGGTCTAGGGATCGTCCCGCATATCGACCACGGTAAGGCCGAGCAGGGGGTAGGACGTCTAGGTCCAAATGTGGCAAAGAGTCCATGTTAAGTTCGTTGCCGGCAACAGAGACTTGAGAAGAAAGATTTACATCCTCAAACTTACATTTTTATAGCTTAGAAGCACAGCTGCCCAAGCAATCAATTCCCGTTCTGTAGCCCGTATGCAAATATATACTACCTACCACCCAGGAGCCTGCTGTGTAGGTGAGTGGGCTGCTAGGGACATACAGTACGGGCCTGGCTTGACATGTCGCATGGTTGGCATGAGGTCTATGTCACACTCCAGATCCCCAGCCGACAAACTCTGCACATTCCCAACATCCGCATTCTGAAGACTCTGCGAGCTCTTCGGCCAAGCAACACCCCTGATGCGCGCAGCAGCATCTCTCGCAGCATACTGGACATTGCGATCGGAGGACTCCTTGCGGAATAAATCAGGGTCGGGTCCAGGGCAAGGAAGCCAAATAGTCGAGATATGTTGCCTGTAGTATCGCGCCTCATACAATCAATCCAAGTACTTTAGCCTGATTCCCAGCACACGGCTCTTGGTCTGGAAGCAGACTCCCTATGCCCACAACTGGCTTGCGAGACTTGGGGTTGGGGCAACCAAATCGCATCATCAGAGGAAGGCGGTGTCCTTCTGGATCCCCTCCAGCAGACTCAGAGCTTCCGTGTCGCCTAGAACGCATTTTGTCTACTCCTTGACATGGGAGTTGACCGTAAAGATACGTTAGGATTGCAGAGAAATTACAAAGGAATTGTAGGGGGTCCCTTTCCGTGTCATATGGGTGTTCTTTTGAAAAATCTTGCATGCCCTATTTTGTGACTATAAATACCGGACGAGCTCCGAATTGCCGGCAGGGGCGAAATAGCAGTCGGCATGGGTACTCCACTGCCCTAAGTCTAAAGCTATGTAATGTTGAAAGTGAGAGAAGTCTTTGGTTGGTTTCAGTTAGGACAGGAGGCAGGAAGCCTTTGTAACATGTCTAGATCCACGGGGAACCGTTAAGTCACTTCTACAAGGAACCCCAAGAAGAAATTTGTTTCGCGTGGTGGGCTTGGAGTCCAAAATCTGGTAGAGCTAGAAGATCCCACAAAGGCAGCGGAAGGATCCGGAGAGTACATCCCCCAAGGTGATACCTTTCGGTGCCGTTGGATACTTGATAGGAGAGGATCTACTCCATGGTCATAGATTCTGCAGAGTTTGAGCTACTTCGAAAGGAACCTTTGCAAAACAGGTTTTACTCAAGAAGCCAAGTCGTGATAGAGCGCAGAGTTTTAAGCCACAACACTTAAATAGAACAAATGCATGGCAGCAGCTGGCCGCACAACATGCCTTGACAACGATCTGTAACGACAGTACCGCCAAATACCACCACATGCAAGTCTAAAAAAAGCAGAGAGACAACGCATGCTTTCTTAATGTGACACGTTTGGAGCTCGGACACATACCTTAAGATTGAAAGAACCACGCATCGCGCCTGTTGCAGCCATACGCCCGACAGCTCGGAGCGCACCCACTCGAACCAGTACCTCCCAACTGCAGTCGCAGGAAATGGCTACCCTTCTCCAAGGTAACATGGAATTCTGTAAAGGTTTCTACCTGACAATTGTTGGATGCAGCAATCTCTACACGCCCTCAAACCCACAGCCCAAACTAGCTTTGTGCTTCATTGAAATTTTGCCCTCCCGTACAACTAATGAGCTTTGAAGCGCTTCTCAACTCTACATGTCTGGCTCATTTGATAAATAGTATTCAGGATCCTGATGTGATTCTAGCCAGTTGCTCACGCACATAATTACTATAATGCTGTGGGGGGAGGGGGGATCCTAAAGCCTATGACTACCAGAATTCGATCCCTAAAGCATTCCTTGACAATCCCTGAAGCCTCTGCATTTCCCATGTTGTATATTCATATGGTAGTTTCTCAAAATAGTGGGACCCCAATATAGACCCCAGAATACTAGAGTCCTTTTTATTGGGGCTCCCAAATTGTATTCCTAATGTTGGGAAACTCCCATATGACTGTGCACATGTCCTTCTGCAGCCGCTAAGCCGTGATTGAGAACATGGGCTGTGCCCCACTAAACTGCTACAAAGCCTTCTGCACATACGGGTATTTCCCAAAAGGGTGGCCGCCCTGCCACCTACTAAATCCTTATTGAAAGGGTTCCGAAAAGGAGACGGCATTTGTCGGAAAAAAGAACACCATATGTTTGCTATGCGAAATGACCTCCAAGAAGACCTGACCCTCCCACACCCAAACCCCTGAAACCCCTGAAGCCCTTAGCCCTCAAATACGCATCCTAAACATAAACCCGAAACCCTGCACCCTACAACGTCCACGCCTGCTTTAATAACGGATTGTGGTAAACCTAATCCACCAAATTAGAACCCTCTGACTCTTCTTGGAGGTTGAGG